AGGCCACTAAGAGGGGCGAAACGCGTTGATTAGGTGATCCATCATCCTGCATTTTATCTTGTTTTGCTGTCAACACTCTGCATGACAAGTTTTTATGCTAACCGAGGCCGAATTACAAAGAGGAGAACTTTTACTGAATCCACAGCCAGCCTCAGTGTGAGCTCCGGACCGCATCCTTGAAGCAGAGGAGAGATAAGACTGAAGCCAGATAAGCTTTTATTGTGGTCCTTAGAGATAAGCACCACATTTTTCTTCTGTAAGGGTTCCTATGTTGGGGAGGGGGATTCCATTGGTGTTTTAAGACATTAAATACAGTATTGCACTATATATATTTTCTGTCTTTTTTAAGGGATTCAAAGTCAAAGATTGTGTTCCCAAACAACACTGTGGACCTCCTGTCACTTTGGACCCTGCTACATATTTTATACTGGACTGAGATACAATTTAGATTTTTTTGTTACAATCTGATTGTTACTATCAGTTATATTGACACTCTTAACACTGTATGCTATTGCTGTTTCTAATTATTATAGATACATTTGTTAAGACCTTTACCCCTGATTATATCTAAGGGGATTATTCACTAAGCGCTGACAACACAATATCTTACAGTTTATTCATTGAATTTGTGAAGTTCTTTTTTTGTTTAGCAGCTATTATCTAGAGGTACTTTGTACCATTCTCTTATAAGTATTATTGTATATCTTTTTTGTGAGCTCTCTTTCACCCTTTTATATAATCCTTCTTCCTTCTTACCTATTCTCAGGTATGGCCTTCCAACGTATAAAGTCTGGAACTCGAGGCTCTGTACATCCCCGAAATCAGCTTCACAGCTTGGTTTGGTCCAGTGAATTCACACTTCGCACTCAAACCAAGCAACAGCCAATCCGGAAAAAGGGCGTGAACCAAATCTCGGCAATCAGCGCTCAGGTAGGAGAGGGGTTTTGCCGCCCAATCAGGAGAAAGGGCGCAAACCCCTGTGCACAAATCGGTGCTCGGCGAGTCGAGGAGTTTCACCAACCCATCAGGAAAATAGCGCAAACCCAGTTTGAATAGGTGCTCCTTCTCCTGATTGGACTTTCATTAGTCCCTGGCATTATCTTATAGTTAGGATAGCCTTATGCCTATCCCACGCATGCTTAAACTCCTTTACTGTGTTAACCTCTACCATTTCAGCTGGAAGGGTATTCCATGCATCCACTACCCTCTCAGTAAAGTAATACTGCCTGATATTATTTTTAAACCTTTGCCCCTCTAATTTAAGACTATGTCCTCTTGTTGTGGTAGGTTTTTCTTCTTTTAACCCCTTTAGACCGGAGTGCGTACAATTACGCCCTATTATAGGCGGCTCTAAACGCCGCCGGGCGTAATTGTACGCCCTCCGGTTTTTGCCTACTTACCCAGTCGCCGGCGGTCGCCGGCAGTCCCACGCCGGCGATCGCGGTGGGGGGGACTCCCAGGGAGCCCCCCGCGGCACATCCGTCCTCGTCGAAGCCCCCCGGCCATGTGAGAGTGGGGTCCTAGCGAGGACCCCACAATCACATGGCCGGGGATAGCTGGCTTCTGTATTGCCAGCAGGGGGGCTGCCTGTAATTACAGGTGGTCCCCCTGCTGGCTGGAAATAAAATGAAAATAAAATGTATTAGTGTAAAAAAAAAATATATATATACTTAAATCATATATATATATATATTATATATATATGATTTAAGTATATATATACACATATACATACACACACGTACACCGTCTAGGTGTATTTTACTATTAATATATATAATTATTTATATATATTAATATCAAATTACACGTAGACTGATACTGGTTAAATATATATATAATTATTGTTATATATATATTTATATATAATATAAAAAAATTAAATATGTAAATACGTTAAAAATAAAATTTAAAAAATAATTTAAAAAAATTAATAAAAAAATATATAGATGTGTGTTATTTCATTCTAACTGTATTGTGATATTAATATATATATATTTATATCAAAATACACGTAGAACGAAATAATATATATCTACATACATAAATATATACGTATATATCACTATATATATACCTATATATAAATAAATATTTTTAAAAAATTATATAGATATACACATATAGATTCACATATTTATATATATATATACATATATTAATTCTACATATATATTTATGTAATATTTTTACATAATTAGGTATCTTAATTAATTACAATTAGCGGGACCTGCATGACAACCCATGCCGAAAGTGAAGGGAATTTAATTGGCTAGCACTATATTTAACCCTATAACTTTCCAAGACACCATAAAACCTGTACATGGGGGGTACTGTTCTACTCGGGCGTCTTCGCTGAACACAAATATTAGTGTTTCAAAACAGTAAAATGTATTACAACGATGATATCGGCAGTAAAAGTGACGTTTTTTGCATTTTTCATGCACAAACAGCACTTACACGGACGATATTATTGCTGTGATACTTTTTACTGTTTTGAAACACAAATATTTGTGTTCAGCGAAGTCTCCCGAGTATAACGGTACCCCTTATGTACAGGTTTTATGGTGTTTTCAAAAATTACAGCGTCAAATATAAGTCTTGCGTTTCATTTTTTCACATTAAAATTCGCCAGATTGGTTACGGTGCCTTTGAGACCCTATGGTAGCCCAAGAATGAAAATTACCCCTATGATGGCATACCATTTGCAATAGTAAACAACCCAAGGTATTGCAAACAGGGTATGTCCAGTGTTTTTTAGTAGCCACTTAGTCACAAACACTGGCCAAAATTGGCGTTTTTTGCATTTTTCACACACAAACAAATACTAACGCTAACTTTGGCCAGTGTTTGTGACCAAATGGCTACTAAAAAAGACTGGACATACCCCATTTGCAATACCTTGGGTTGTCTACTATTGCAAATGGTATGCCATTAAGGGTGTAAATTTCATTCCCGGGCTACTATACAGTCTCAAAGGCAACGTAACCAATCTGGCGAATTTCAATTTCAAATGTAACGTGCTATATTTGATCCTGTAACTTCCCAAAACGCCATAAAACCTGTACATAGGGGGTACTGTCTTACACGTGAGACTTTACTGAATATAAATATGTGTATTTTATTGCAGTAAAAGCAAACAGTATTATGACACTGACCGTTAAAATGTCATGTAGAACTAAAAAAATCGTATTTTCTCCCATTTTTTTCATATTAAATTATGTTTCATAGCTAAATATTTGATATTAAATGAAAGCCCTGTTTCCCTGAATAAAATGATATATAATAAGGGTGGGTGCATTTAATATGAAAGAGGTGAATTACGGTTGGACAGACATGTAGCGCAAATGCCAGGTTTTGTTTACATTTTGTTTCGTTCACAACGTGTACATTTGGCTAAGTCCTTAAGGGGTTAAGCAAAGAGATATGACGTGGTTGGAGGGGATAATCGGAGAGGTTAATGATTTTGTTTAGCGTCAAAGTCTCTGTCCTCGTCCCTGTCTCTTGTATGCCCAGCGATCCCTGTCCCTCAACCTCCAGCTCTGTTTCGCGAGGGGGTCCTGTCCTAAAAAAGTATTTAAACCAATGGACATGCTAGTGTCAAATGGAATCGGAATGTCCAAAAAGGAGACTGATTTATCAGTGCGTTTTAGGATACTCCTATTAGGAGAATGATTAGGGGCAGGATCGCTGTTGCGATTGCTGTTGGTATAGCGACTTTGTCGTGATTTTGTGGAACTGGTATCTGAGTCTGACCACTCAGTGTCTACAGATGTAGATCCTCTATGACTATTTAAATGTCTACGAAAATTTAGTTTTTTTTTGTTTTTTTTTACAGAAGATATTACCGTCTTTAAAATCTTTGAAATCTCTTTGAAATTTTGTTTTGTTTTACTTTTAGATTTTGTCTAAAATGTTCTATATTTTTTTTGTAATTTTGTTTCCATAGGCAAAAAGATAGTATCTGTTTTCAACTTCTTTATTTGAGTGATCTCATCTTGTAATTTTTTTTAGTTTATTCCAAATGTGTGGTTTCAAGTTTAACTAGTAAAGTCATTAGTTTTGAGGAACAATCTAGTAATATCGTGTTCCATTCATTTAATTGTTCGTCTGTTTGGATTTTGTCAGGTAATAGTATATCTGGACGGATACCTCTAGGTACCAGTTTTTGTTCTATGTATTGGT